ACATCTACTTAATATTGGGGAGAAGATAAATTGAGCATTATATTGGACTTTGGAAGATTTGTATGTGGATTTAAAAGTTGGAAAGCAAAGAAAGAAGCAGCAGCAAGAGGAAGAAGCCAGAGGCGAACAGAACGCTGGGATAGACGGTTTTGGGACTGCAGATTAGTCAGCACTTTTCACCATTTGCTGATTGGAAGGCTGAAAAGAAACCTCTAGCTGGAAGATGGAACTTTAGCTCACCCAATTTGCTCTCTTTATTACGTGGTACTACTTAAGTTTACTAAGTTGGCACTATTTTCTCTTTAAGATGACTTCCTTGTGGTTGTTTGTTTGTTGATTTTCTGAAGCTGTGGTAATCTCTCTTCTACCCCTTCTCTTATTATCTTGCCCCTTGCCTCCCTATTGTATCTCCTAAACACTTTACATAATTTTACTTACTGGGGGGGGGGGGAAGAGGAGGATACACTATTATCAAAGAGTTAAGAGTTTACTGTTGTAAGTATTAATAGTAAAAAGGGATAAACCTTGTTGATATAATCTATTTATAAATTATTTAGACTACTTACGACATTTAAGATTAATTCCTTAAAGTGTTAATTGATGTACTATTGTTGACCAATTTTCTTATTACATTGACTAGAATATTGTTGCAGATCTCTATTTATGATATAGGGGAAAAGACTGTGGAGTGAGATATAAAATTGAAATACGTGAATAGTCTTTCAAGTACAGAACCCAAATACTGAATGGTGATTTGGGATAATATATTTAATATTGTGCATCAACAAAAACAAATACTTAGAGAGATGACATCCACAACAACTATGGCCTTAAAAACAGGAAAGAAGGCTATCCCGACCCTATCGACTACGTTGACAGCCACCCCACCAACATCTCAAAAAACTATCGAGGAGTCTTTAATAGGGGAAAAGCAGCCCAATGTCCCCAATATTAATATACAAACTTCCATATTAGCCTTGCAGGAAGCTATATCTAAAATGCAAGAAATGATGATTAATAATCACAAGGAAACTAGAGCAGATATAAGTGAATTGAAAGATGAGATGGGGAAATGAAGGCTGAAATGAAAGCGGATATAGCGAAGGTGGAGGGTAAGATAGGGTCTCTACAGCAGGCCATGGAGAGAAACGAAGTGAAAATAAAAGATATAGAGAGTAGAACAACACGCATGGAGTCTAACTTTGAAAGGATGGATGAGGAATTTAAAAATGTACTTAGAGAAACGGAAGACTCTCTGATCCACCTCGAGATGGACAAAGCAATGGCGTATTTAAGATTCCAGAATGTGGCGGAAGCCAAAAATGAAGAATTGGAACATTTGATGGCAGAAATATTGGCTGAATGGCTAGGAAAGGAAAAAGATGATCTAATTAAAGAGTTTGATGAGGTATATAGGGTTAGCACAAGCTACGCCAGGCGTAACAACTGTCCAAGAGAAATTCATATCCGCTTCTCTAGGAGATGTCTGAGGGATTTAATTTTGAAAATGTCTAGGGAGGAAACAATATCATATAAGGGCAGAGAAATTAGGATTTTAAAACAAATTCCAAAGAGAGTGAGGATGATAAGACAAGATTATAAATTTTTAGCTAATGATTTAAATAAAGAAGGAATCCATTTTAAATGGCTAATCCCGGAAGGGATGTTAATTACATGGAAAGAGAGGAAAATCAAAATAGAAACGATAGAACAGGCCCAAGTTTTTCATCAACAGCTCACAGATAAGAATAGTCAACCCACCAAAGAAGAACCTAAAACAAGACCACAGGAGGTCCGATATTATCACAGAACCCAAAAGGAACGACTTTCTCCAATTTCAAGAAGTGATAATCCACAACATGGGAGAGAAGAGCAAATCCCACAACAACAACAACAAGAGAACCGAATCATTACTAGGCAAAAATCTAAGCAGAAGTAGATAAATGGTGGAGGGGAAGAAGTTGCTCTCCATCAATATAAACGGATTAAATTCATTATTAAAAAGAAAAAGGATATTCTCAAAACTTATTCAACATAACGCAGATATAATATGTCTTCAAGAGACACATATTTCGAAGAATGACGAAAGATATCTAATTTGTCCAAAATTAGGTAAACTTTTTACAGCACCGGCCGACCAACACAAGAAAAAAGGAATTGCAATTTATGTAAAACAAGATGTAAAGGCAGAACTAATCTGGTCGGATCCCGAAGGAAGAACTCTGGTTATACAAGTTTGGATAAACCACATCACATTTTTACTTGTAGCAATCTATGCCCCAAATGATGACCAGGGGAAATTTTTTAAACACCTTCACCAAAAAATAGTAGGCTTTGAAAAAAGAAACATTTGCTTGATTGGCGATTTTAACTCCATTGCAGACTACCAGAAAGACCATAGTAATATGGGGAAAAACAAGAAGGGGAAAAGGGAACTCTCTGCAGCATGTAAGGAAATGTTGAGAGAGTTAAATTTAAAAGATCTATGGAGGGAACGGAATCTTGAAGGAAAACAATTTACATATTATTCTAACCCACATAAGACTTGGACCAGAATAGATATGGCTTGGATGGATTTGGACTTGGCTAATGAAATAAAAGAAATCAAAATTCTACCGAATGAATGGGCTGATCATAACCCAATACAGCTAATTTGGAGGGATAGGAGACGAATAAAAAAAAGATGGACACTAAATAACCAAATTGTAAACGAAGAAGAGTATATTAATAAACTGAAAGAGGAGCTAAATTATTTTCTAAAAGATAATAATAATGAAACAACTTCAAAACAGAACATTTGGGATACTATGAAAGCAATTATAAGAGGCACAACAATTTCCTATAATGCTATGAGAAACAAGAGAATTTATGCCCAACAAAACGCGTTACAACAACAAATCCAAGACTTAGAAACACAATTACAAAAAACCCCTAAGACCCAGGGAGGAGGCTTCCTGCTTTCCAAAGGGATTCCATTGAGTCACTTGAGGGAAAGTATACTTTACTAGTTCAGTGTTACAGAACATGGCAAATCTTACATACTTAAGTACAGGTAGTCCTTGACTTACGGCCACAATTTAGCCCAAAATTTCTGTTGCTAAGTGAGGCAGTTGTTAAGTGAGTTATGCCTCATTTTACAACTTTTTGTCACAGTTGTTAAGTGAATCATGTCATTAAGCGAATCTGGCTCCCCCCATTGACTTCACTTGGTGGAAGCCAGCTGGGAAGGTTACAAATTGTGAACATGTGATTCCCAGGACAGTGCAACTGTTACAAATATGTACCAGTTGCCAAGCACCTGAATTTTGATCACGTGACCACGTGGCTAAGATGTTATGGTCCTTATCCTATAACATACTAATCAAAGCATTCACATTTATATGCATATGAAGCAATCATTAACATAAAATAAGACTCCACTATCCAGGGAGTGGCATTACAATAGCAAGTATGCAAGTTAGCTGGACAACTGTTTTGTTCAACTGGTTCTTGAATGATGATGGTGGTGGTGATGATGACCAGTGGGAATAGAAACTGGCAAATGTTTCTAACTTAATAATTTTTATTTTGGGTATAAGAATGATAATTATTGTCACTTTCTGTTAGCTTAGCTAATAAGCATTTGGGTCTTAAGAAGCCCTTGTCTTTTTAATTGACAGAAGTACATCTTGTCATTGTGTTGTTACAGAGGAGAAAATGAATTATGGAGCTTACATTTTAAACAGTTTCTCCCCTTACTGTTGATGAAATAGCTAAATATCTGTCTGTAATAATTTAAAATGAAGAGTAGGATATCTAAGTTAATTTTTCATACTTTTTATAATGAATATCTCAGCTGCTTAGATACTTAGGATAATGTAGGCATCAAATGTTGTATTCCTTATTGAAATAAACACATATATGTGTGTGCATATGTGTACGAAGGGGGTGAGGGATCATTGTTAGACACCAGAAAATTAAAGTAGCTTCATTTCTAGTTGCTTAGGCTTAGGCTGTATTAAACAGCAAATAAATATCATGGTTTTAAAAGTGTCGGGAGCATAAAGTAGACATTCATACTTTGGGATCAATGGGATAGAAGTTCAGTAATTGTATGGATTTCAGTAAGCTCGAAAAGAAATGGCATTTATTTATTTATTTATTTATTTATTTGATATGTCAATCACTTACAAGATAATAGGTATAAGGATAAACATAATTATGAATACATGAAATGGATACATATAAGAAAAATAAAAAGAAACAATAGGACAGGGATGGTAGGCACTTGGTGTGCTTATGCACGCCTCCTACAGACCTCTTAGGAAAGGGGTGAGGTCAATCATAGACAGTCTAAGGTTAAAGTTTTTGTGGTTTGGGGAAGAAACCACAGAGTCCGGTAGAGTATTCCAGACATTGACCACTCTGTTGCTGAAGTCGTATTTCCTGCAATCAAGTTTGGTGCGGTTTACCTTGAGTTTGTATCTATTGTGTGCTCTTGTATTGTTATGGTTGAAGCTGAAGTATTCATTGACAGGTAGGACATTGCAATGTATGATTTTATATACTATACTTAGATCGGACTGAAGGTGGCGTAGTTCTAGGTTTTCTAGGTCTAGAATTTCAAGTCTGGTGGCATAAGTATTCTGCAACGAGTAGAGGAGTGGAGAACTCTTCTTGTGAAATATTTCTGGACTTTCTCAACTGTGTTAATATCAGATACGTAATGTGGGTTCCAGACTGATGAGCTGTCTTCAAGTATTGTAGTTAGGAGTAGTTTGTCATAGCATTCTTGCAGGGCTGCTTTGATTATTAAAACATTTTGAGTTCCCTGTAAACATGTTGTCCTTAGAATCTGGGTTCACAGTCACAACAAAAGATGGTGGCCATTTGTGCAGATTATAAATAGATACTTTCATCTATTAGACATTTTCTTCCAAAAGTAAATGGACTAATGACAAAATGCTACAGTAAGAATTGTACCTCATTTCTCCCTCATCCCACCTTTTTTTATCCTGCAGGGCCCTCCAGATTTTCAACAAAACCCTCCTGAACCTGTTCCTACCAATTTCAACCAGGCCCCACGACTTTCCCTCCAAGACCAGTGGCGAGGGCCACCACCCCCTCTTCCGCCCCCACCTCCGCAGGAGAGAGAACCTTTCTTCATGGGAGGTATGGCCATTGTCTTACCAGTGGAAAGAGAACTTTTCCTTGGTTCTCAGGGAGGGGATTGGGCATGAACTATGAAGCCAGAATCATCATTTGGCCAATCCAAAAATTGTCCTGTCTTCCTTTGTTTGAAGTCCAGCACTTACCAATTACATACATACTGCTGAAGCAACATGACTGTTACTCCAGCCCTTTCCTATACACTGTTTACCTTGCTTAATGCATCCTTACCAGAGAAAAGTTTCAGAAAGTGATGCACTAACCGCAGAATGATTATTGTCAGGTCTACATGTGAAGGTCCAATTAAACTGATTTATTGCTAAACATTCCTGTGTACAGGAATCTTCTCAAGTTTAACACCTGCTTGGAGTTAGATAAGGCTCAGTGGAATTCAAGGGAGGTTAAATTTAGTTCACTTGTAGCTATGTAGGGATTCTAGGCTGTTCCTTCTTTTAACTCTGCCCCCAGGTTCTACCACTCCTTCTACTACATTTATCTACAGAACTGGTGACTTCTAGTTGGAGTAGAGAGTATTGGGCTAATTGAAGAAATTGTTGGACATGATCCTGGCAATTCTCCATGAGACTTATTTCTAGTAGGTTTGGGCCAAAACTGGTATTTTGCTTGGCAGATGGGTTGGTTTCATGCCCTCTCATTTTGATTTTTCCAACAGAGCTGAGATTTCCCAGCCATCACTTGTTTGAGCAGCGGAGCCCCCCTCCACAGCTGCCCTCCCTGCTTAACAGTGTGCATCCTGTGCCCAGCCAAAACCCACTCCCATTCAGCCAGCCTGGACCAGGTTTCAGCCAGCAGGGGCAGCAACCAATGTTTCCAAGAGAAAGGCTGGTAAGGCCAAATCTGCAGCCTCAGGGCCCTATGGGAATCCTTCACTTCAGCCAGCCTGGAGCAGCCAATGTACGGCCTTTTCTTCCCCCAAGGCAGTCCTTCCTGCAGGTACCAGGGCAGCCGTTCTTAACCCCTCTCACCCAAGCCGGCATGCAGGTATGTAATGATCAGGACAGCCCTCCTCTCTGTCAAGTGCTCCTATGACCATTGTAGCCTGAACTTTCAGAGTCTGTGTAGGTCCTCCAGTACAGTTGTTCCTCCTCATTGTTCCCTTTTTTCAGAAGCATGATTTCAGATAGTAATACAGATCTGCTATTTGCAGTTACTTAAAAAAAACCCGATGGTGACTATCCTACTTGAGAGAATATAACTAGTTTTTACTGTGCCTTTTTGGCTCTACTACCAAACCCTCTTATATGTAAAACAGTAATTTATTTTCTATTTCAGGCTAAGAGTAAAGTGAATTGTGGATATTGACTGGCCTAACATAGTTATGCTGTTAAAGGGATTCTGGGAGTTGTAGTCTCAACCTATTGGGAATGTGCCATTTGTGTGTGTGGATGTCAGGTTTCCAAGTGATGAAATCCATTTAAAAAGAAAAGAACAAAGTCCATCTTCAAAAAAGATTTCTTTTATTTAGGAAAGCATCAAATTGGCAAAGTCCATGGTAATTCCGGATCTGACACAACCCGGATTTACCCCACAATATTACAAGTTAGAAACAACCCCCAAAAGTCACATTCTCCAATAGAAGTATTTCAACGTTGCTTGATGTCATAAATCTCCACCTCAAGTGGCCCAAGCAGGGTCAGCTTGTTTCCCACGGGAAGAAAGATCACCTAGCCAAAACAACTCTCTTTATCTTTACTCCTCCCCCCTTAGGAATGTGGCAAGCCCAAAACCCTTTCCCCCCATGACTGCCACAGAGAAAGTAAGAAAAAGAATATATACTAAGACTAACTAAAATGGCTACACTTATGTCAATTTCAGGCTTGACAGTGGAACTGTTACAGGTTATTACATTTAGTCTTAGCTCAGAACATACTATATTTTTTGGACTATAAGACACACTTTTTCCACCCCCAAAAGTGGGTAGAAATGTCTGTGCTGTCTTACACAGTGAATGTTGCCGAAGCCCTGTCCACCCACCGGCCCCCAAACTTTGGCCTCTGCCTCCCAGCAATTTGCCTCCTTGCAGCAAACAGCAAACAGCCTGTTTCAGCTTCAGCATAGCTTAATTAGCACAAGCAGCTGATCGTCAGTTGGATTTGCCTTCCAACAACAATCAGCTGTTTTAGGCTTCAGGAATTGCCATTGCCTATTGCCGCCTCCACGTGCCCCATTTTCAGCCTCCGCATCCCACTTTCAGCCTCCGCGTGCCCCATTTACGTCCTCCGTGCGCCCCATTTTCTGTCCATTCCGATCCCTGCTGCCCAGAACTGGGCAAAAATGGGGCACACGGAGGCCAAAAACGGGGCACGTGGAGGCTGAAAATGGGATGCGGAGGCCAAAAATGGGGCACATGGAGACGGCAATCGGCAGTGACAATCCCTGCAGCCTGAAACAGCTGATTGTCAGGAGACTGATCCAACCAACAATCAGCTGCTTGTGCTAATCAGGCTGTGCTGAAGCTGAAACAGGCTGCTTGCTGCAAGGAGGCACATTGCTGGGAGGCAGAGGCCTCTGTTTTCCTCCCCAAAAGCTAGGTGCGTCTTACACTTCAGAGCATCTTATACTCTGAAAAATACAGTACATTGCTTCAGCAGAAGGCTGAGAGAAGCTCCGTTGTAAACAGAGCTTGAATGCTTAGCATTTGAAGCAATTTAAACATGCCTTTTTATCATTGTGCCAAGCATAACAGCATTATTCTCATTAGTGGCCAGCACTAATTGAATTATAAGGGCTAGCTGCTTCAAAGTGAAGACATTAAAAAGTGTTGATTTTTGTAAACCTGTTCACAGACCTAATGGGATTAGAAATGTTTGTAACATGGCATTCTGTTTCATATTCCTTGGTTTCCTAAATTGATTTACTCCAGGAGAGATATTGAAGTCTAGTTTGTGAAAACAAGTTTCTGTACTATGAGTCACTTAATCGTGCAACTAAAAACATTAGGTCTGGAACACTGCAAGGCTTAGCGCTCCCTCTCTTGGTGCTTTGCTTTCTTCTATGAAAGCTTGAATTACAGACACCAGCTTTTAGTAATTTATTTGCTGAAGCATATTTTAGAAAGATTCTGTATTTTATTAACAATCAAAAGCATTCAAATTCCAGTTGTGATCTTCACCTTCACCCCAAAAAGGAGGAGCGCTAGTACTGTATAATACCTTCATGCAGGAAATCCCTTAGGTTAATTGAATTTATCAGATTAGAACGTGGTGGGAAATGGGCTGTGCAGTTCTTTAGATATGAAGATTGAAAGTTGGTCAGAGCAAACAGGTTCAAACTTTAAAGTAGACAGTACAGGTAGTCCTTGACTTGACAACTACAACTGGCCCAAAATTTCCATTGCTAAGCAAGGTGGTTGTTAAGTGAATCATGCCTGGTTTTAGGACCATTTTTCCCACAGTTGTTAAGCAAATTGCTGCAGTTGTTACATGAATCACACAGTTGTTAAGCAAATCCAGCTTCCCCATTGACCTTGCTTGTTGGAAGTTGGCTGGGAAGGACACAAATGGTCACATGACCCCAGGATTCTGCAACTGTCTTAAATACTTGCCATTTGTCAAGCACCTGAATTTTGATAACATTATTGTGGGGAATGCTGCGATGGTCATAAGTATAAGAACCAGTCATAAATCACTTTTTCAGTGCTGTTGTAACTTCAAATAGTTGCTAAACAAATGGTTGTAAGTCAATTACTACCTCTAATGTCTTTGTCCTGGATTACCAAGATTCTGCTGCTGTCTAATCCGAGGAAAATGTATTTTTTATTTAAAAAGTTGCAGTCAGCTGCCACATGTGCCAAAGCATGTTTTTGTCTTCAGCTCCCAATTTCTGAACAACCTTACTTTCTGTTGGAGACTTTTTGTTCCCTTGTTAAGTGCTGATTCTGTCTTGCAGTCAGGGAACAAGTCTGACCTCACAACTGCCATGTTTTCAAATGTACAGGGTCATTTGCACCCTCCTATGCATCCACAGCATCCACAGCCACCACCACAACAACATCCACAGACGTCCCAGCAGCACCCCCAACCACCCCAGCCTCACCACCAGACGCACCAGTCCCACCACCACCATCACCTTCTGCCTGTGCCTCCCCAGCCTCTGATTCCGGTGGCCCCATCCCAGTTCAGGCTGCACCTGCAGACTTCACAGCAACAGCCGAGTGGCAACTGGATGCAGTGCCAGCAACGGCAAGGTCTGGTAAAGGCCAGGCATGTAAGTGTCCTTTCCATACAGTAAAAAACATGGGCTCTTATTGGGCAGGGGCAAGACCTGAACAGTCATCTTTGAAAAGGTGTAAGTTCTGATCTCTCTTACTACTTGCCGCATCTACTCCCTCTGTTTGTATTTATTTATTTCATCTTTTCTCCCCCACCAAATTAATAGACTCTAGGTGGCTAGAATCTGCGTAGCATTTTCATTTTTAATATTTATATTCCACCTTTATTATTTTTATCCCACTTTTCCTCTGGAAGTTTGCAGGAAGTAGCTCTGGGGCTGTCTACTAAGTTGTTACTTATTTAAATGTATTGGCTGCCCAACTCCAATGGACTTCGGGTGGTATATGAAAGTAGGGGGGCATAAAAGCAGCAAAAAACTTTATACAATGGATATCAAAAGTCTGCACACTCCTGTTAATATGCCAGGTTTTTGAGATGCCCACTGTGTCAAGATGGGCAGCCCAGATCAAAATAATCTAATAAACAGCAAGGTAAAACAGGAGCCTTAGACAAATCATAATCATGGGACCAAAGCCAGATGTTCAAAGCTTTCTAGAAGCCTAGGAGAGGGCACTGTCTTTATCTCTGGGAGGATGTTCCAGAGGGTGGGGCCCCCAACAGCGAAGGCAAGCTTCCTTGGTCCCACACAAGGACAAGTTTTAATAGAGGGGATCTGGAGCACACCCACTGTGCCAGTACCTACTGGGCGGGCAGAAACTATTGGAGACCACTGGTCTCTCAGATACCCAAACTCTATGCAGTATACAAATTATAGTTATACCAGATGAACTCTTTCAGATAAATTAGACTGAGAAAGTTGTCCAGTTATGATGATTGAACTAAGATCCCTTGTCCCTTGTCTACTCTCTTAACCACTGCAAATTGCTCTTGAGGATAATTGTGTCCTACCTGCTTGCCTTTCTTTTCTCCAACATTCCCTTCTATATCCCTTGTGAACTATATTTTAATATGACTCCCATTCATTCATCTGTTGACATATTAGATTGGTATGGAATGGAATCAAGCTACCACCATATAGATAAGTGGTTGTCTTTGAGTTGAGTGAGACTGTCAAGTGAAAGATGCTAGGAGCTGGAAATAAGTAGTTTATAAAGAGCTACATATTACATACTGTTACCATGGATTATGAGTTCAGTAATATCAGGAGGTGTAAGCAGTGTCTCATTCATCCCACCGCTAGACCTGCCCCACCCAAATATGATAGCCTGGAAAGAAAGGAGCTGGGGTTGCTTTCACTGGTAGTTTGGCAACCCCCTCCCCCAGGGAGTCGTGAGTAAGGTTGAAAGAAAGAAAATGTCTTCCTCTTTCTAATAATAAAAGAAAACACAAAGGCAGTTTAAAAGGAGCAGCTTTTAATTTACAAAGGTGTACTTTACCTGAAGGGGGTTATACCACATAATTCCCAACACATAAATTGACACCCAAAGTACTTACAGTATTTATTAGAAAACACATACAGGCGAAACTCGAAAAATTAGAATATCGTGAAAAAGTTCATTTATTTCAGTAATGCAACTTAAAAGGTGAACCTAATATATGAGACAGACTCATTACATGCAAAGCAAGATACTTCAAGCCATGATGTGTCATAATTGAGATGATTATGGCTTACAGCTCATGAAAACCTCAAATCCACAATCTCAGAAAATGAGAATATTACATGCAATCAATAAAACAAGGATTGTACAAAGAACAATATCGGACCTGTGAAAAATATAAGCATGCATATGTGCTCAGTACTTGGTTTGGGCCCCTTTTGCAGCAATTACTGCCTCAATGCAGCGTGGCATGAAAGCTATCAGCCTGTGGCACTGCTGAGGTGTTATGGAAGACCAGGATGCTTCAATAGCGGCCTTCAGCTCTTCTGCATTGTTCGGTATTATGTCTCTCATCTTTTTCTTGGCAATGCCCCAAAGATTCTCTATGGGGTTCAGGTCAGGCGAGTTTGCTGGCCAATCGAGCACAGTAATCCCATGGTCATTGAACCAGGGTTTGGTGCTTTTGGCAGTGTGAGCAGGTGCCAAGTCCTGGAAAATGAAGTCAGCATCCCCATAATGTTCGTCTGAACATCCAGCTACTGAACCAAACTGAGAGACCATTTAAAGGCTCAGGAACCCTTTGCAGGTGTTATGGCTTAATTAGCTGATTAGAGTGGGACACTTTGAGCCTAGAATATTGAGCCTTTTCACAATATTCTAATTTTCTGAGATTGTGGATTTGAGGTTTTCATGAGCTGTAAGCCATAATCTTCTCAATTATGACACATCACAGCTTGAACTATCTTGCTTTGCATGTAATGAGTCTATCTCATATATTAGGTTCACCTTTTAAGTTGCATTACTGAAATAAATGAACTTTTGCACGATATTCTAATTTTTCAAATTTCACCTGTAGTCGCAAAGAAAAGCATGGATGAGCATCACAAAAAGTAGTATGTTTAAATAAAGTAATAATAAGGTAAGCTCATCTGAAATGGCGACTGAGCCTACTGAAATAATAGTTGTGAAACTATAAACAGTCAGAACAGAGCTGGAAGGGACCTTGGAGGTCTTCTAGTCCAGCCCCCTGCTCAAGCAGGAGACCCTATACCATTTCAGACAAGTGACTGTCTCTTCTTAAAAACCTCCAATGATGAAGCACCCACAACTTCTGATGGCAAGCTGTTCCACAGGTAAATTGTTCTCACTGTTAGGAAGTTTCTCCTTAATTCCAGGCTGCTTCTCTCCTTGATTAGTTTACATCCATTGTTTCTTGTCTTGCCTTCCAGTGCTTTGGAAAATAAATTAAACCCCTCTTCTTTGTGGCAACCTCTCAAATACTGGAATATTCCTATTGTGTCATCCCTAGTCCTTCTTTATAAAGCAGTACTAACACTTCAGTAATATTTAAGTGATTGTCCACTAGCACTCCAAGGTCCCTCTCACAGTTACTGTTTTTGAGCCAGGTTTCACCTAATCTTTACCTTTGGTTTTCCCTGCCTAAGTGTAAAACCTTGCTTTTCTCCACATTAAATTTCATGTTGGATAGGGCCCATTGTTCAAGTCTGTCAAGATATTTTTGGATCTTGAGCTTGTCATCTGGGGTGTTGGCTATTCCTGCTAGCTTCGTGTCATCTGCAAGTTTGATGAGTTCTCCTTCTATTCCCTCATCTAAGTCATTTTTGAAGATATTGAAGAGTACCGGCCCTAAGATGGAACCTTGTGGTACCCCACTGCTTACTTCCCTCCAAGTAGATGTAGTACCATTAAGGACTACTTGTTGAGTATGGTTTCTCAGCAAGTTACAAATCCATCTGGTGGTGATGCTGTCTAGCCCACATTTTTCTAGCTTACCAATAAGTAGGTTGTGGGCTACTCTGTCAAATGCCTTGCTGAAGTCTAAGTATATTATGTCCACAGCATTTTGTTGGTCTTCTAATTTAATCACTATGTTGAAGAATGAAATAAGATTGGTTTGGCGTGATCTGTTCTTAACAAACCTGTACTGACTGCTAGTTATTACTTTACTTGTTTCTAGATGTTGGCAGATCTGTTTTTTATTATCTTTTCCAGTATCTTCCTGGGTATTGATGTTAGGCTGATTGGTCTGTAGTTTCCTGGGTCTGTTTTTTTTCCTTTTCTGAAGATGGGAACCACATCATCTCTTTTCCAGTCCTCTGGTAGTTCCCCAGTGCTCCAGGATTTTTGAAAGATGGTGCAGTGGTTCTGAGATGACCTCTGGCAGCTCCTTTAAAACTCTGGGATGTAATCCATCAGGCCCCGGTGATTTGTGTTCATCAACATCAGACAGGTGTTCTCTTACTATTTTTTTGCTTATTCTAACTTTTATTTCTGGTCTGTCTTTTACAGTTATGTTTTGGGTGGGTTGAGCTATAGTTTCTTTTTGGGTGAAGACTGATGTAAAGAATGAGTTAAGCAGTTCTGCTTTCTCTCTGCTGCCTTTTACTTCCTCACCATCTTCTCTCTCAAGTGGACCTACTGTTTCCTTGACTTTTTCTTGTTGTTTATATGTTGAAAGAAACTTTTTAAAAATTATCTTTAACTTTTGTTGCAAGTCTTCATTTATTCTGAGCCTTTTGCTTTCCTGACTTCATGTTTGCAGATTTGGGCTATCTGCTGATATTCTGCCTTAGTTATATGTCCCTCTTTCCATTTTTTGTACTTGTCCTATTTGTCTTTCAGTTTATCAGAGAGATCTTTGTGCAACCATGCTGGTTTCTTCTTGGATTATTTGTTTTTCAGTGGTATTGTGTTGAACTGGGCTTTTATGACCATATTTTTCAGTTTCCCATGCTTCTTGAGAAATTTTCCCCTTAAGGATTTTCATCCATGGAACTTTGCTTAGGCTCTCTCTGAGTTTGTTAAAATCATCTCTTTTAAAGTTTTAAGACACTGATTGGATTATGTTCTATTGCTTGTGTTTGCATTATATTGAATTCCAATATGACATGGTCACTCTCGCCCCAAATTCTGGCAACTTCAACTCCCTCTATAACTTCTTCTCTATTAGTAAGAATTATGTCCAGTATAGCTTTTCTGCTAGTACCCTCCTCTGCCTTTTGGAGGACAAAGTTGTCAGCTAGGTTGGTTCGGAATCTGTTTGATCTCCCACTTGCTACAGAGTTTGTCTCCCAGTTGATATCAGGGTAGTTAAAAGTCTCCCATTAACTACTGTGGTATGTTTCCTACATACCTTTGTTAGTTGTTTAGCAAAAAGTTTATCTATTTCTTCTGCTTGGTTGGGTGGCCTGTAGTATACGCCTTATAGCAATGTCATTCTTTTTTCCTTTTATATTGACCCGTATGGATTCTAGGAGGTTTTCATCCTTGGTTTTGTGGATTTCTGTAGAGATGTAGTGATCTTTTATATATAATGCAACTCCACCTCTTTTGTTAGGTCTGTTTCTTTTGAATAGTTTGTATCCTTCCATCAGTACATTCCAGTCATGAGTTTCATCCCACCAAGTTTCAGTAATGGCAACTATATCATATCTGCCTTCATGTACTAATACTTCAGGTTCACCCTGTTTGTTCCCTAAACTTTAAGCGTTCGTGTATAGGCACTTGAGTCCTCTATGGATCTTAGGTGTGTTTCTTATATTTCCAACTTTGTAGCAGGGTTTTCCAGCTTTGCCATCACATTCCACTTCATTGTGTTTTTCCTTTTTTTCTTCTTTCTCTTTACTCCCTACCACCTTATATGATTGGTTATCTAGTGGTTTTTGCCATTAGGTTTTTGCTAATAAGACTCTAGAGTTTGAGCACGTTGAAAATAAAATCAAAGCTTGTAACCCAGTCCAACTGATTACTTACAACTGATCCTGAAACTCTGGATGTCGTTGATTCTTTGCTGAGTTCTGGAAATTTCTCATTCCATATTACTTGGAACAGGGAAGTCTTTTCCTTCCCCCAGACAGATCTTGAGATAAAATGTCTCTAGCAAAATTCTTTCTGGCTAGTTAACTTGAGGACAGGAGTGGGACAGGGGTGTAGTAGAGCTGTTTCATGTAATTTAGCCAAATGGATCTCTTAGCTTTCCTTACTAGAGGGGCAAGGTTGCATTGCCATCAATTCTGCTCTATTGAGGAACCCTGAATTTTGACTTGCTTGAGATACTTGTTACAGGATAAGTTTTTAATAACTTTTTTTCTTACAGAACACACCAACACAAAGCATTGTAAAACGTCCAAACCAGCAGCTGCAGTCATCTACCCCAAGGAATAGTAATTTGCGTGAATTGCCAATAGCACCTTTGCATTCTATTGAGGCTGCTAACAACCAACGAACTTCAGCTCCTGCTGCTCAAGTGAAACCTATTACTAGTACAACACCTGTTACAAGGCCTGTTACAGGTGTCAAGAAGCAACTGGGAAGGACCGAGACCAAGCCTAGAGCAGTTATGCCCATGACTCAACCTAAAATGGAGGTCCAGTCTGAACCAGAGGTAGGGGTTCCATCTAGCAAAGGCCCATTGGGTACTTATCTTCAATTCAGCAGTGGTTTTGAACAAAGGTCACTTAAGATAGACTGTACTCTTCTGTACTTGTGTTCTGGTTTTATTACCTGCCAAAATATGTTCTTTTTAAATGTTCAGGAACTTTAAAAAATTTTTATTTAACCTACCAGTCAGGAAGAAGAGGTGTTTGTTAAGCCTCAATGACTATTAAATCTGAAAGGTACTCTTATGCATACATAAAAAGTCAGATTGCTATTTTGCACATGTCTAAAAGTATACAGCCTGAAGTGCCCTGTTGCATTGCAAATGGAAGCTAAGGAAAACTCCTTCCCACCAGTTTTTCTGCTGGCCTACATCTCTACTCTTCCTAGCTTTTATTTGATGGATAGAGCTGCTCATCTCACAGCAGTGATTCTGTAATGTACAGAGTCCCATCATAGCAGTACAAACTATTATTGAGGCGTAGCAGCTCAGTGGCTTAAAGTCGCTGAAGATGGTCTCAATTCCTAGCACCGTGTGGCAGAGTGAATGCCAATCACTTGCCTCAGCTTCTTCCCACCTAGCAGTTAGAAAGCATTCTACATGTGAGTATATAAATAGGTACCACTTTGGTGGGAAATGTGGCAGCATTTCATGCGGACTGTCAGACCCCTGTCAGTGCTAGAGCTGCCCGGATACGATGCCTGACTGTTAGGCAAGTGGTGAGAGATGTCGCTGCAGGACACTGCTCATCTTTCTAATGTGGAGCTAGTTCGCCCCCTGTGGTGCACCATTGGATAAGTGTGTCAACGTGAACTAAACAAACTAGCACTCTTCAGCAGCCAAATAACTACTTTGTACTGACATTGTAGTCTGCTGGCTAATTTTAACATCACCATATGTTAAATAAATAAATAAATAAATAGTACAAACTCATGATGCCCCAGTTAATAAGTTCCAAAACAGAACCATATCACCAACCCCAACCAAGCTCACCTAACTCCCCCCCCTCCAAAAGCCTGTAAGAACAGATGGGTCTTCAGAGCCCTACAAAAGGCTAACAGGGTTAGGGCCATCAGAATCTGCAGTAGGAAGCTGTTCTGCAGGGCAGGTGCAGCCACAAAGGAGGCTTTCCTAATCCCGATTTTACAGTACTTTTCTGCTGATCTGCTTGCTGGCCTCCCTTTCTCCCAGTCTTTCCAGTGAACTTCATTGTCCCCTCCATTTTTCCCAACCTTCCCCTTTCCCACCAATCTCCCTGCCATTGCTTTGCTGCTGAGCTTCCAACTGACCTACCCACCACTTTTCCAAGTCCCTGCCCTGTTGTCTTCAGTACTGTCTATCACAAGGGACACAATTCTATAGCAGTTTTTGTTCCTGGATGGATACTTATTGTTTTCCTCTCTGTGGCTGCGAGAGTCCAGAAAGACTGGGTTGGCTCTTGTCCTTGCTGATTGGACTGACTCTGCCTGATTGAATTGTAGCTCTGCCTTGCACCGTACGCCCCAGTTTTCGACTCAGTCCCAGCCAGGACGGACATGATTTCTGGAGCTCCACTTCTAAAAGGAAGTGGAGGCCTTTTTTCAAAGAAAAGGAAAAAATTTGCAAGCATAGTGAAGAGCCATGGGCCAAAGTCCTTCAGGACAGCCAGAAGCTGGGGTGGTGGTGGTGGTGTTCTGAGCAACCCCTGCCCAGGTAGTGAATGCTCAGGCCGGAGGCCCTATCACGTGGCCTGCAACTGCATGGGAGCGGTTTTGCAGGCATTGGGTGATTGGCCCAATAACACCTTCAGCTGTTTGGTGCGCCAGTGCAGCAGCAGCGAGATCGGGTGATCGGCCCAATAGGCACCAGGCTGGGAGGCACGGCGGAGCAGCAGGCCGCATGATCGGGCACATCAGCCCGATTGCATTGTGGTGAGCGCTAACTGGGTGGCAGCAGTTAGCATGGTTTTATGGGCAAACGGTCCGAGGCCCAGCTGGTAGACGCAGGATTAGCCACGTTGCCAGCACTGCGGAGCAGTTACAATGCTGAGGTCTTGCATGGTGTGCCAGTATACCTGTACACAGGTCCTTTTGTTGTATCCTGTGGCTGCTTTGGGCGTGGAGGTTGCTTCCAGGTAACCAAGAGTTTGCCCATGGCCTGGAGGTAGGGAGTGACCAGCAGGGCGTTGTTGCAGCCCAGCAATAGGCCTCTGTGGCCTGCTCCAGCTGGCTAGAGGTAAGAGGGACTGTTTTAACTTCAAGGGGGGCCTAGAGGGAAGTTTAAGGGGCTTAAAAGTGAAATTAACCCCTCATTCCCCCCCCCCCCCAGAACCAATCTCTCCCTCATGTGGCTCTGTTGCCCTACCCTTCAGGCTATCATGGCGGATGCACGGAAAGAAGGTGGCCATAGTCCCTCCTCATCTAGGGGCAGATCAAGGGGCAGGCAGAAAAGAAAGGCTTCTGAACCCCAAAAGCCTTCCAGGGCAGAAGAACAGGATGCAATGAGGAGACAAAAGGCATTGGAAAAGCAGGTGGAGAAGAGCCAGTGTGCTGCTGGGGGGAGGAGCCTCAGATCACCACCCCCAGATGAGTCAGCTTTCTCTGTACAACCTTCAGTATTACAAATTGAGCCTGGGCCTGCCCCTGCATGTAAGGCCCATTTACAGGCCTGATCACCCGATGAGACATCACAATCTGCTAAACCACAGTTAATAGAAGGGGGTAGAGATTATGAGAGGGCCCCTCAGGCAGCCTTCCAGGATGACTCATGGGAACCACACCCTAAGAGGCCTAGACCAGGGGTGGAGGCCACATTTACACCCACTGCTGTGGGCCTACGTGATCCTGAGGTTGCAGAACAGGAATTGCCTGCTCACATGGAGGCAATTATTTTTAAGGCCATCAGACAGGGGATTGTGGAAAGCCTTCAAGTGATGAGAAGGCCTGAATCTGTGGCTTCTGAATAGTCTACCATTTCAGACCCGGATATTTCTATCCATCCCAGAAGTAGGCAGTCCTTGAGGGATAGGGCTTCACCTGACCCATCCCTGCATAGCCATCCATCTATAGCCCCTGAATAAGACAAAAGAGAATCAGACTTCTCTGAAGATGAGGGCATGACCCCTGAAAGACCTGCCTTCTGTGGCCTGTTCAAATCTCATCAGTTCCGGACCCTATTGAATACGGCCCAGTTGGGGCCAGGGGCAGATGTTGGGGAAATTGTGGGAGATACACCAGCACCTCCAGACCAATTCTTTGCAGAACCAACTATACGGCCTGAGATAGTACCAACCCCAAGGCTATTTTTAAATGTAATCAAAAAACAATTAGAATCCCCTGGCACAGTGGCTGCGTTGTCAGCTAATGAATGCTGTTACTTCACTATGGGTCCTGAGCTTACTAGATTCCTGCAGGTACCATCACTGGACAGTCCGTTAGCGGCCTTGTGTCATTTTTCTTGAATCCGGCTGATCCAGAGGAAGCCTTGAAAGTGGACAAAAGAATTGAACAGTCCCTTCAGCATACGCATCAGGCAGCTGCCTGGGCAGTCAAGGCTGCATTAGCTGCATCTTTTTTCACAAGAGATTCCTTACGTTGGCTTCAACAACTACAGGACAGGATCCCTATAACTGATGTCCGGGTCCATCAGGACATCAACAAGCTCGTGGCAGCAGCTGAATTCACAGCAGATGCCACCTTAAATAGCGCCAGATTCACAATCAAAGCCATAGCAACATCAGTAGCTGCCCGTGGAATGGTCTGGCTGAAAAATTGGCAGGTGGATGGGCGGTGCAAATGAAAGGTGGCTTCCGCCCCAATTCAGGGGGATAAATTGTTTGGGGAAGTCCTAGATCCCCATCTCATTGAAACTAGAGACAAGAATACCTCCCCTCTCTGGCCAGGTTACAGGGCAGTTCCATACTCTTGTAGATCCACCTTCAGAGCAGAGGGCAGTACTGGGGCTCAAGGTCCGCAGAGGTAGGCCTTTAACCACCAGGAACGCCCACAGGAATGAGCGGCCAAAGACAGGCCACAGTACTCAGGCAAGCGGCCCTTTCGTGGGGGAGGAAGTCTCTTTTTCCGTCACTTCCGTTAATTGTGGTGGTAGTTCTCCCATTGGGGGCAGATTATCCAGTTTTGTTACCCAGTGGGAGGCTACAACATCTGACACTTGGGTCCTAGGCACCATCAGATATGGCTTTTTTGTAGAATTTAGATCACAACCCCCCAGGTTCTATGTGCCTTGTCCTGTATCGAGGGAGGCATCTTGAAGAAAACTCATGGACCAGGCTATTCAGCACCTGCTGGATATTTGAGCCATCCAAACAGTTCCTTTGAGTCAACAGGGTAAGGGATTTTACTCCCAGCTGTTTGTTATTCCTAAAGCCCCCGGGGAGGTGGGGGTGACGCGCTATTCTTGACCTTAAAAGGCTCAATAAATATTTGTTCTACAAGCAGTTCAAGATGCATTCACTGCAATCTATCCTGGAGAGCATTCGGGAGGGTGACTTCCTCACCTCAATTGATCTTACAGAAGCATACCTGCATATCAGGATTTGCCAAGAGCATAGGCATTTTGTGCGCTTCAGCTATGCTGGAAGACATTTTCAGTACAGGGCTATGCCCTTTGGTCTATCTTCTGCCCCTCGGGTCTTCATGAAAATACTAGCTGCATTGGCAGCTTGTTTAAGAGCTATCCCAGTAAGGGTACAATGCTACCTGGATGATATTTTAATACAATCATCCTCGCAGAGTAGTGCCTTGAGGGACCTCCAAATGACGGTTTCCCTCTTGCAAGAGCCACGGCTTTTCAATTAATCACAAGAGTCATTTCATCCCCACTAGGTGTCTGTTGCATTTGGGAGCAGATATTGACACGGTCACTTGCAAAGTGTTCCTCTTGCAGGAACGCAAGGGTAGTCTTCAAGCGCTGGGGGACAATATTAGAAAGGCAGATAAGTCACCTTTGGCCCTTCTATCCCAACTTCTGGGCAAGATAGTCTGTTGTATATCCATTGTGCCTTGGGCAAGGTTACATTCCAGAACTCTACAGTGGTTTCTCTTGCCTTACCAAAAGGCAGGTAGAAGCCACTCGTCATGTAAGGTCAGGGTCCCCAGGCCAGTAAAGCAGTCCTTAAAGTGGTGGTTATCCCATGCAATCAACGAAGGGCACCTCTTTAAAGAGCCCTGTTGCTTTGTCATCACCACAGATGCTAGCCTTTCCAGATGGGAGGGCACATCTTCAGTCACAATTGGCACAAGGCCAGTGGTCAGCTTCAGAACGGAGAAGGAATATCAATTGGTTGGAGCTGAGAGCAGTAAGATTGGCTCTCAAGAAATTTAGACCCACTGTACAGCATGCTCATGTACTGGTTTTGACGGATAACATTGGCACCAAGGCACATATAAACAGACAGGGTGGCACCAGATCCAGGTCCTTAATGTTGGAAGCAGAAGGCCTGGGTCTTTGGGCAGAGAGGAATCTCTTATCAATTAAGTCAGAACATATGTCTGGGGTGGACAATGTTCAGGCTGACTGGCTCAGCAGCCAGGATTGACCACGCAGAGTGGAGTATTCACCCTCTTTTATTTCAAGACCTGACACAGAGATTCGGACTTCCAGTAGTGGACCTGTTTGCTTTGCCAAGCAATGCCAGACTACCCAGGTTTTTCACCAGGTTCGTGGCCCTGGGCCCAATCCCATGCACACCTTAGAAAGGGTGTGGCACAAGCTGGATGTTCACAGAGCATTAAAGATTTACATCTGCAGAACACAGGCCATCCGTAAGACAGAGGCACTTTTTGTGTCCTTCCAACTGGACACATTGGGTTCCAAGGTAACACCGGCGACAGTGGGCAGGTGGATACGTGCCTGCGTATCCAGGGCCTATCAAAGTAGGTCTCTTCCAGTGCCTTGAGGGGTAACTGCCCACTCTACAAGAAGTGCAGCAACGACAGCAGCATGGGCCACTCAGGAGCCCATCGAGGAAATCTGTCGAGTGGCTACGTGGTCGTCACCCTCGCCATTCATCAGACATTACCGCCTGGATGCTTTCGCATCAGCTGATGCGGCTTTTGGCAGAAGGGTTCTACCACAGTGAGCAGGACCAGACCTGAGCCCTCCCAGGGACAGTCCAGCTTTGGTATGCCCTACTCTCTTTGGACTCTCGCAGCCACAGAGCGGAGAATGAACATTGACTTACCTGAATGTCCCTTCTCTCCTGGGGCAAAGAGAGTCCAGCCCCACCCTTATTCATCTGGTCTGGGGTGTGGGTCGGGGGGAGCGATGATGTATGTTTTTTATCGTTGAATATACAGAGTTACGTCCAGTCAGTGTTTCATTGAAAGCTGGGGCGTGGCCTATGGCGCAAGGTGGGGCTACAATTCAATTAGGCAGACTCAGTCCAATCAGCGAGGACAAGACCCAACCCACTCTCTGGACTCTCTTTGCCACAGGGGAGAAGGAACATTCAGGTAAGCCAGTGTTCATTCCAGTTGGTAGCATGGGGGAGAGGTTAGGGTTAGGGATTTTTAAAGATTTTATTTAATCTTTATAGCAGGGAACATTAACTCAAGAGGTGCCATTGCACTTAATAGTAATTCATTTAGATATTTAAACAACAGAGAGCCAAAAGTTGGGACACTCATGTTTAAGGTACTACATCTTCCCAAATTAATATACTTTCTTTTGAGTTGCAAGCTGGGGGCCACTCCAGAGTAGGTGAGGTCAGAGCAAGAAGCAAGTCTGCTTTTATTGAACATTTCATTAAAATTATTACTAAAGTTATTCTTCAGTCATGTTTTTAATCATTTCCCCTTCTATTTTCTTAAATATAACATTTGATAGCAATATTTGTAAGCCTCTGAGAGTCATACCATAGGCTTTCAGGGATCCCAGACTATATGATTTTGCTATAAATGTTAACCACTGAAATCTTTTCAGACTTAATAATATCTTAGATTTTATATAGGCTATAAAGTAACAATACCCACTTGGAGAAATTGTCATCTTTGGCAGTAAAGAATTTAACCCTAGACTTTTTTTGTGCTGGTAGGAAGTTTGAATTTGGGTGCAGTGGCCATCTTCTCATTGTTTGGATCAGACTCTTGGAGCCAGCATGATGCTGCAAACCTGAAGCTGTATATGACAGGTTTAGATTCAGGGCCTGCTGTGCTATGGCTCTGAATTTCTGGGAGTGGTGCTTTGGGGAAATGCAGTAAAGAGAAGAACCTTGCAAATTTGAAATGCCACGTGGAGCTTTGATGTTTTAGTCATCTCATTTGTCAATTCAATTTGAAAGAAAAGATTTTTGTCTTATGAAAGTAGCTCTTGAATAAATAAGTATATTTATTATACAGTGTATATGCTTTGTAACCACATAGGAGTGAAGACTGCTGTTATATTTTAAAAGCAGCAATTCACATTACAGGTAGTCCTTGACTTATGAGAACAATTGAGCCCAAAATTTCTGTTGTTAAGTGAGACACTGCAGTTGATAAGTTAGTTGTTAAGTGAACCTGGCTTCCTCATTGGCTTTGCTTGTCAGAAGGTCGCAAATGGTGATCACATGACCTTGGGACACAGCAATGGTCATAAATATGAACCATTTGCGCAGCATCTGAATTTTGATCACACGAACATGGGGATGCTACAAAGGTCATAAGTGTGGAAAACAGTCATAAGTCACATTTATCAGTGCCATTGTAACTTTGAACGGTCACTAAATGAACTGTTGTAAGTGGAGGACTACCTGTATTAAATTATTGTTGAATCTGCAAATTTAAAAACAGCAAAAAGAATTTTCATTTGCTTTTAATTTCTCAGTAGCTTTGAATAAAGATATATATTCTGCTGAAGTTTTAAGTCTACTGGAAAGATGATTTGGCACACAAAGGCTATAATACTTTCTAAAAAGCTTAAGGCAAGAATATTAAAGCCATTCCTGGTATTAATATTCTAACCTTGTATTTGGCAACATTTTAATTCTGAAGAGAGTACATGAGTTCAAAGTCACAGAGATTGACTTCCTCTGTTCATTATAAGCAATGATTGTGTGACAAATGAGTTTCAGATCAGACTGAAAATTCTGTAAGAAAAATCAGTAGTTCTGGTCAGGGCCTTTCAAGTCATTTACCATCCTACCTTTTGTTAGTTTGTCAGAAAAGAGCAAGATAAATCCTGTGTGACACAGTGGGCTACCTCATATTGTTACTGCATCCTTCTGAAAAAGTATTTGAGTTTTTGAATCATATTAATAGTTTAATTAGTTTCAGCAACTTCTAAATGAGTTCCAATTTAGAAGGCTTCAGTTTCAGCTTTCTGATTTACTGTATTTAAAACTTCAAAATTGAGTAGTATATTCTTTGCCTCTTCATTGCTTGTTTGATTAATAGCTCATAAACTTTTGTTAGCAGCTTTGTCATTAAAGACACCACATGGTGTATCAGTTAATTTAAAAATACCACTGGGAAAATGTGCCATCTTATTAACAACAACAACAACAACAACAATAATAATAATCTTTCTCCTCCTCCTCCATGCATAACTTTCTTTTTTGGCTATCTTGCAGTTTCCTGATGATGATGAAGAAACCAGACTGTACTGTTTGAAGATAGAGGAACAGAAACGCCTCAGGGAAGAGATCTTGAAACAAAAGGAGCTCAGGCGGCAGCTTCAAGCTGGGGCCCGAAAAAGAGAATTGCTTGAAAGGCTGGCACAGCAACAACAAGGTTCTTCAGGCCAACAACAGGAGGAAGACCCTTCACAGCTGCCCTCTAATGGAAATCCATTGCTTTCCCTTCCTGGTGCACAGCCCCGCCAAAATGTGAAATGCAGGCTAATGGTTAAAAAACAAGAGCCAGTCATTCCAGATTCCACAGCTGTTCAGCCTAAGCCTGTAAATGTTCTCCAGTCTGGAGACAGTGTGCAATGTCAAGGACAGCAAATAAAAACTATAAAGCAGCTAAGGCAGGCTAGGACAATGCCCAAAAACAAGTTCCAGCTACCCAATAAAGCTTTGCAAACAAAGCTTCCTGCTGCTGTGCACTTGAACCTGTCCGAGATTGCTCGGGTGGCATCGGTGCAAGGCCAGCCTCAAGAGCTGAAGCCTGGGCTGAAAAGAACTGTCATGCAGCGGGCAAACAATGGGAGTGGCGATGGAACCCATACTGGCACCAAAGTCAGGGTGATAAAATTGTCAGGAGGGGTAAGTTACTAGGCATGTCTGTCTCTTATTTTTGTGTGGTTGGTTTCTGATCTCCATCTGTCTTGTCATTTTCAGAAGCTCAAAGTAAGTGATCTAGCCAACACCCATGTTTATTTTGAACTGGCATAGTTGCATGTGGAAAGATAGATACTAAGATACAGGTGAAACTCGAAAAATTAGAATATCCTGCAAAAGTTCATTTATTTCAGTAATGCAACTTAAAAGGTGAACCTAATATATGAGATAGACTCATTACATGCAAAGCAAGATAGTTCAAGCTGTGATGTGTCATAATTGAGATGGTTATGGCTTATAGCTCATGAAAACCCCAAATCCACAAAAAATTAGAATATTGTGAAAAGGTTCAATATTCTAGGCTCAAAGTGTCCCACTCTAATCAGCTAATTAAGCCATAACACCTGCAAAGGGTTCCTGAGCCTTTAAATCAGTGGTTCCCAAACTTTTTCAGTACACTGCCCCCTTTGTGCTACAAACTCATCCTTGGTGCCCCCCACCCAGGGGTGGGATTTAAATTTCTGTGGGCGTGGCCTAATTTGAGGGCATGGCTTGCTGGTCATGTGACTGGGTAGGCGTGGCTTGCTAGTCATGTGACTGGCTGGCGTGGCTTGCTGGCTGGGAGTGGCTTGCTGGTCACATGACCGTGTAGGTATGGTTTGGTGGTCAGGTGACTGGGTGGGTGTGGTCAGGTGACTGGCAAACCAAATACAAGTGGTCCTCACTTAATAGCCGATTGTTTAGCAAGTGTTCTAATTTGTGACTGGCCTCCCCAGAGCTACTTGACCTGTTTTTGGAGTTTTGACAGCCATGTACACACATACACACACACTCCCTTCTAACCCTGCTGGAGCAGGTCATTGGACTAGAATTGGCAAAACATCTCTGATTAGATTCTAGTAGTGAATAAAATCTAATCAGAGATGCTTTGCCGATTCTTGTTGATTTGTTTTATTTGTATTTCTTTATTTTATGTTGCATTGAAATGCGTGTCCCTTCTTGTGCACAATCCAGAAGCTTTTGTGATTCTTTGCAGCAAAAATTACTGACCTCTGGTTTTGCTTGACTTTTCAAACATGCTGCCACTGCCATGTTTTAGGTGCCAGCCCCGCAGGTCCACCCCATTGAGCCCACTGCACCGGAGGGACCTGCCCAAGCAAGTCTGAGCGAAGCAGTGCACCAAGTCAGTGGGGTGAGCCTGAGAGAGGGAAAGAGAGAGAGAGAAAACAAAGAGAAAGAGAAAGAGAGAAGCAAGAAAAGAAAGAGAAAAGGGAAAGAAAGAAAAAGGGACAAAGAAAGGGGGGGATGGAAGGAAGGTGCAGAAAGAAAAAGAAATAAAGAAGGAGGGAAGAAGGGAGGAGAAAGATAATGAGATATCTATTCTAGTCCAATCACCTGCTCCAACAGGGTTAGAAGGGAGTGTGTGTGTGTGTGTGTTCTTGTAATTTACCAGTACATTTTGGTTTTGCTTTCTTCAGAATTGGCACTGTAACACATTGGGGAAAAGTAACATTTTAGGGTGGAAATCTGGTCCAATGGATCCTGTTTAAAGCCTCAACAAAATGTGAGAGCTTCCTGATAGTCTTGACCATGTTTTGTCCACAAAACCTTTAATAGAAGCCAAAGATGTTTCAATGTGCTGGCAAAGATGTTTCAGTGTAGAAAAGGGCCTCAGTCTAAACTAGGCCTCATTTCAATCTGATACATCAGGTCACTCTCTCTCTCCCATCTCTTTCTTTCTCCCTCTATCTCCCTCTCCCTCCTTTCCTCCTTCTCATCTCTTTCTCTTTCTCTCTCTCTCTCTAACTCTCTCTCTTTCTCTCTATGCCTCTTCCTCCCTCCCCACCCCCCTTCTAGTGGTGGGATTAAAAATTTTTTACTACCAATTCTGTGGGCGTGGTTTGGTGGGCGTGGCAGGGGAAGGATACTGTAAAATCTCCAGTCAGTAGGTGGTTATTTGCCGGTTCTCCAAACTATTCAAAATTTCCGCTACCGGTTCTCCAGAGCTGTTGAGAACCTGCTGAATATCACCTCTGCCCCTTTCTCAACTCCCACACCCAGGGAATAACTGTAAGGAAATTTCTGTCTCTGGAAAGATACAAAAATAAACCTTGCATTCCAAAAGGAGTGACAGTCAGGCTGTTACCTCACAGTGCTACGAGGTTGCTGCCTTAGATTGCTGCTGAATCCTTGCAAAACTGGGCAAAGACAGAGAGGGGAGCAGACAGAGCTGAATTGACCCGAATCTCTCTCTGTGTGTATCTAGCTCTCTCTTGCTCCCTGTCTCTGTGTCTCTTTCACTCTCTCAGAAAGACCTGCGTGTTCTCCTTGGGGCTCTTTGCTGTCCCCTTTTCTTTCTTCCTTTTGGAAATCTGGGCTGGCTGAAGAACGAGAGGAGGAGGAGGGAGAGGAGGGAAGCCTCCACTGCGGCTTCCGCTCGTTCCTCAGCTAGCCTGGATTTCCAAAAGGAAGGAAGAAAAAAGGATAGCGAAGAGCCCCGAGCAGAGAACGCAGGGCTTTCTGAGAGTGTGAGAAGCTTCTTTTCTTTCTTCTTGGTGAGTTTTTGGAAATCCAGGTTGACTGAGGAATGAGTGCAAGCCGTGGCGGAGGCTTCCTTCCTCCCTCTCCCTCTCCTTCTCTCATGCACACCCTCCAGGCCCCACCACAGCCAGCTCCATGGCTGTTCGCTGCTCTTGCAGCACCTGTGCAGCACACTCAAATTTACTGCACTTCACTCCATCCCCTCCCCCTCCTCCTGGAGCCCATTACAGTGTGGAACATTGGCTCCAAGCCAATCCGGCCAGTGTCTCAGGCTGGAGAGAAGTCACAAATCTCTCCCAGCGGCCGAGGTGAATACAGCATTAACAAGGGCCAGAAAAAGAAGCAAGTAGAGGGGCACTTCGCTTCTACCCTAGAATACGGAATGAGACTCCATCTGCCACCATTGCCCTTCTCTTCTCAGGGCAGGCAGAGTGAGGGGGAGTGTCATGCCCCTGGTGGAGTCTGACTCTGAGGAAGAGGAGGAACAGCCAACGGAGTGGGAGTGTGGCTCCAGAGGTGGTGGAGGAGGCTGGGGAAGGGCAGAGTCCAGCTGAGCAGTCAGAGGAGGATCCAGGCCCATCCCCTATCCATCCTAGGTCACGCAGGGAGCAGAGGATCAGGGAAAAGTGAGGTCTACTCAAGAGGAGATTACCATGATCCTCCTCGTGGCTTGCAGGTGGGAGCTATGTATGTAAGTTTTTCAGCTACGTAGTTAGAATTGCTGGAGTCAATTAGTGTTTACCTTGAAAGAGGCTTATCTTTGTTGTCATTCTTCCCATGGACTTTTCTCGGTTATTTGCCTGGAATTTATGATTAGTTATCTCGGCTTGCTTCAGAACTCTCATCAGTGCGGTTTGTTTTGATTTTCTGTTAGCCTCATTATTTACTTTTGTGACTTTAAACTGCCTAATAAAACAGTGAAGTTAAGTTGAAGGCTTTACCGGACTTTAATATATGTTTTGGGTTTTGGGTTATTTTGAGAGACTACGGGTCATCACAGGGAGGGGAGGGCGAGGGGCAGGGCCAGCCAGTGGTGGGATCATCTGACAGGGAGCCACAGGAGAGGGTCCAAAGGGCAACATGCAGCTCCAGAGCCGCACGTTGCCGACCCCCACCCTAGGTGATCCACGGATGCCATTGACTTGCACCGAAGCAGTGCATAGGAGCTGCTGAATTCAAGGCACCGACTCTGGAGCGGTGCAACAATCAATGGGGTGACCCTGCAGGGCTGGTGCCTTGAACGCCCCCCCTTGCCTCTTAGCACCCCCCTGCCAGCCTCCTTGCCTTTTAGCGCCCCCTTAAGACATCCCACACACCCCCAGGGGGCAGTACCACCCACTTTGGGAACCACTGCTTTAAATGGTCTCTCCGTCTGGTTCAGTAGGAAGCACAATCATGGGAAAGACTGCTGAACTGACAGTTGTGCAAAAAACCATCATTGACACCCTCCATAAGGAGGGAAAGCCTCAAAAGGTAATTGCAAAAGAAGTTGGATGTTCCCAAAGTGCTGTAACAAAGCACATTAATAGAAAGTTATGTGGAAGGAAAAAGTGTGGAAGAAAAAGGTGCACAAGCAGCAGGGATGACCATAGCCTGGAGAAGATTGTCAGGAAAAGGCCATTCAAAAGTGTTGGGGACTTTCACAAGGAGTGGACTGAGGCTGGAGTCAGTGCATCAAGAGCCACCACACACAGACGGATCCTGGACATGGCCTTCAAATGTCATATTCCTTTTGTCAAGCCGCTCCTTAACAACAAACAACGTCAGAAGCGTCTTACCTGGGCTAAAGAAAAACAGAACTGGTCCAAAGTCCTCTTTTCAGATGAGAGCAACTTTTGCATCTCATTTGGAAACCAAGGACCCAGAGTCTAGAGGAAGAATGGAGAGGCACACACTGCAAGATGCTTGAAGTCCAGTGTGAAGTTTCCACAGTCTGTGTTGATTTGGGGAGCCATGTCATCTGCTGGTGTTGGTCCACTGTGCTTCATTAAGTCCAAGGTCAACGCAGCCGTCTACCAGCAGATTTTCGAGCACTTCATGCTTTCTTCCGCAGACAAGCTTTATGGGGATGCTGACTTCATTTTCCATCAGGACTTGGCACCTGCCCACACTGCCAAAAGCACCAAACCCTGATTGAATGACCGTGGGATTACTGTGCTTGATTGGCCAGCAAACTCGCCTAACCTGAACCCCATAGAGAATCTTTGGGGCATTGCCACGAGAAAGATGAGAGACATGAGACTGAATAATGCAGAAGAGCTGCAGGCCGCTATTGAAGCATCCTGGTCTTCCACAACACCTCAGCAGTGCCACAGGCTGATAGCTTCCATGCCACGCCGCATTGAGGCAGTAATTGCTGCAAAAGGGGCCCAAACCAAGTACTGAGTACATATGCATGCTTATACTTTTCAGAGGTCCGATATTGTTCTATGTACAATCCTTGT